TCTTCGTGCACTGGGCCCCTAGTTTTAAAATAATTTGGGAGAGAGATTATAATTTTGTATAGTTACAATACAAAACCAGTCCGGCTGGTATGGCTCAGTGGTTGAGCATTGACCTATATACTAGGAGGTCATGGTTCAATTCCTGGTCAGAGCATATGCCCCAGTTGTGGGCTCGATCCCCAGTGTGGGGCATGCAGGAGGCAGCTGATCAATAATTCTCTCTCATCATTGATGTTTCTATCTCTCTGGCCCTCTCCCTTCCTTTGTGAAATCAATAAAAATGTGTTTTTTTAAAAAAGCAAGTCCAGCCCTGGGTTTGGTTTAGCTTTCCCCCACCAATCAGCATTTTAGGATAACTTTTGTGGGGGTTTTAAAATCTATTGTGAGCTAAAATTGATTATCAGTTTTTGAATAATGTACAACAAATTGCTTTGCTGATCATGGTAAATTATGCAGTATAATGGCATTGAAATAACATTATTATGGAGATGGGTATTTTGAAGCCAAGAAATGCTCAGTTAAACCAGAAAAGCAACCCTTTCTACCTGTCCTCACTCTTGGTTGGACACTAATAGCTCCTGTCCCAGTATGCTGCTATGCTTTTCCCCAAGGACTTGTAAGCATCAGGTTTCAGAGTGTAGATGACCCACACCAACATTTGTGTTGGGGGCTGCTCTTGCCCTTTATCAACAGAAAAAAAAGCAAAGAGTAAAAATAAATCATTTTTCTGCCTGTGGATCTGTGTCAACATAGTCTTTGAGATTTGAATAGAGCTGATCTCTGGGATACCAGTTTAAATTAATTCAATGATGAACTATGTTCCACTTGTATCACATTAATACCAGCCACTGCAGTGGAAAAGACAGGTGAATGAGACTAGATCCATGTTCTCAAGGTGCTTAGAATATATTGGGAGAAGCAAGTCATAGACAGATTCTACCAAATGCATAATAAAATGAAAGAGAGGCAAAACGTTTCTATGGGAGTTCCCAAATGAAGAGAAATTATTCCACTTTTAGAAAAGAGGGAGATTAGGGAAAGCTTTAGTAAAGGGTGTCCCAAAATTCACGCAAGAAGTAATTTTGATAGAAAACACAGGTTTATAATTAAAAATTGTAAATTTTTTATTGATTCAAAAAGTATACAGTATAAGGTTATGTATGGAATAGCATATCGGGTAAATGGATTATCATGTCACGATAGCGAGCACCATTAACTGTTATTGCCTGAGCAGCCTCATTTTCGAAGAAGAATGGTCCGATGATGCCTCCAGCCCAAAATCCGCACCAAACAGTGACACATTGTGGATGCATTTGTTTCTCAACAATCACTCGTGGATTTTCTGAACCCCAAATGTGACAATTTTGTCGATTAACCAAGCCATCAAGATGAAAATGAGCCTCAGCCACGAGTGATTGTTGAGAAACAAATGCATCCACAAGGTGTCACTGTTTGGTGCAGATTTTGGGCTGGAGGCATCATCGGACCATTCTTCTTCGAAAATGAGGCTGCTCAGGCAATAACAGTTAATGGTGCTCGCTATCGTGACATGATAATCCATTTACCCGATATGCTATTCCATACATAACCTTAT